CATGGTGGGTACTAAACTTTAAGGCCATTAGATAATGGTCAATAATTAAAAGTTTGTGAGAGTACCTTTTAATCTTTGATCAACAAATTATTATACCTGTAAAATGATGTCATATATTCGCACAAGGTCCTCAGGTTTAGCAATCTTCTTGCCAGAGCCAGTTTCAGCTGGTACGTCCTCAACAGAATTTTGTAGATTAGCTGGTAAACTGTTCTTCATTGACTCAGCCATAAGCAAGTTCCTTTCCACTGTTTTACTCAGCCGGATAAATGTGATGTAAATATGCAGGAACTGCATATTTCCCATTTGGGCTTCAGTCTTTTGAGACCGTGTTTTACCAGAACCCTGCAAAATAAGATAAAGTAATTAAGGTGCTGTTCACAATATTATTGAAAATAAAACAGCACAATCATCATACCATAAAATCGCAATTAATCACTGTTAAGGACAATATATTAACTTGGTACTCTTAGGATCTAAGCACTTGAAATGCTGGAAATTATCCTCATATACATTTTTAGACAAAATACATTACTTAGGAGCTACCTGTCAAGGTGACATCCCTCCCAAACATATAAAGGGGACAAGTGTTTTCAAAACAAGCTGGCAACTGCCAGAGTTCTGACGCCTACTTGATTATATATTGCCGGTTTCTCTGGTTATAACAATTAGCTGGCAACAAACAAGCTCAGCACTGCGTCTTATCAATAAATCTTTAAGACAGCAGAATAACTTCACAATCAATTTTTGTGGCAATAATTTTTTATCCAATAGGAAGTAAGATAGTTAAAGAGAAAGCTCAAAGCATCCACTGTATTTTGTGTCCTTCGCGTTATCATGTTTTTGTAGCCATCTTGCAGTTTTAAGTACATTTGCACGAAAATTTTCCAGTCGATAGATTTTTTTAAAATTTTTACTGCAGTCAGTTAATGAGTTACCTGTGTAAGAAATGCAAAAAAATTGAGGGTTACCGACTTTGTTTCAGAGATAAAGCGTGTGGAAAACACCCTGATTTTGAAAAATTGGCGCACGTAATTCAGCATGGTCTACAGGGGTTTATAGTTAAAAATATCCAAAGTGAGTTAACAGAGGCAAACGATCTTAGTCATATTTTGTAGAAGTGGGTCTGTTGTGTAAATAATTCCAAATGTTGCCAACGTTTTCACAAAACTTAACCCTTCAAGAGGAATTTGAGACTGTCGCACAGAAAGAGCTAAAAGTAACGGAATTCGATGGTGCATTTTGCAAAAAAGAGCAATGGCCATCTGCCCTACCATTGTTCATTTCATTACTTAGCGCGCACATCGATGCATGACGTGGCGTGTGAATTTACATGCACAGTAAGGATGCGTAGTAACAATTGGCGTGAACATCCTTAATGGCCAGCCTCGTTTCCATGTCACTTCTAGCATCATGGCAGTGAAACAATCACAAAAAAATGATGTTTTTTCTTTTGGCTCCAAAAAGTCATGCTTGGCAGGTGGGTGAAAATTCTGACCTATACGTATGGGTTATTGACCAAGTGTGAGGTCAAGATGGCTGGATATTGGGCAAGTTCTTTTTTTGTGTGTTTATGGACAGAGATGGASTCGAGGTCCATAAACTCGCAAAAAAAGAACAAGGCCAATATCCAGCCATCTTGACCGAACAAGGATTTATTACATGACTTTCAGGCAAATTTTTCTTGGGGAACATGACGGCTAGTCCCGAGCGGGCAAGATAGCTCCATCCTGCCCGCTCAGGTAGCCAATCGCAGTGCAGGATTTGATTCATCTTGCTTGCTCATGGAGCTAGCCACATACTAAACACAAGTAATCACTTTATAAGTTGTATGACTTTGTAATTGTTCATTTGACCATATGATTACTCTGTTGTTTATTATTAAATAACTGAACTAC